TGCCGCCCAAGTGGAGCACGTGCACTTAACCGCTTGCGCCACCGGGCCAGCCCTTTGGCTTGATTATTTTTAAGAACAAAAGACTTTAAAAGAAACTTTGACCTTCCCCCTAACTGCCTAAAAGAATTTAAAATAGAAGGGCCTGTTCCAGGAAGGAGCTAATACCATAAGATAACTGTAATGTAATGTAAAATGTGTCTCAGGTCACATTGTCTATAGTTGGCCCATTTGCATTTCCATCTCCGTGTAAATTGCCTTCTTCCCCCTTGAAGTCTCAAACCACTACCTCAACACCCTCCTTTGTCTTTAGCTGAAAATGGTATTTAAGGTGGCGGCTTTGACCGTTCTGAGAGTTACTCAGCTTTCCTCGGTTTTTCCCATGTATACATGTTATAAAGCTTTGTTTGATTTTCTCCTGTTATTCTGTCTCATGTCAGTTTAATTCTTAGACCAGCCAGAAGGACCTAGAGGGTAGAGGAATTGTCTTCCTCCCCTACAGTTTTCAAATATGCTCAGATCCCTTGTCTTACTGTCTCCACCTCCTTCTCACTGACTGCCTGCTTCTCAGTCTTATTTGCTCAGTGCCTGCTGCTGTCTCACCTCTCAGACTCTTGGCTTGCTTTTCACTCTTTAGACACTCTTTAGAGTCTCTTCCAAACTTTATAGTCTCTGTTTTATCATTTTCTCTATTCCAGGATCCAGCTCCTTTCCAAGTAGCTGAATCCTCTTCCTCCATCCAAAGCAGCTAAGAATTTGATCCTTGTTTCTTAAGAGACTATTCTGACACGGGGGAGTACGGACACTAGAGGCAGAATTAAGAAGGATCTTTTCTGTGTTCATTGTGCCATTCCTACCCCTTGGGACCCTTCTATGATTGTCAGTACCCCCCTCGCCTTCCTCAGCATCTTCAACCTTTCTCTTATTAATGTCTCCACCCTCCAGCCTTCCCACAGACAGACTGCTTCCCTGGTGGTCACAGGTCCCTCTTCCTGATGAAACTCCACGGCCTCGGAGCAGCTTTTCCCTGGCCTCTCCATGGAATGTGGTGTTAGAAGGCATTCCTTCTCGACATCCTCTCTTGCCTGGACTTGTTCCGCCAGACCGGGGGTTCCTGTGGTTTATTCTGTTTCGGTTTCTTCTCTGCCTCCTCCAACCCCTCCCGGCCTTGGAAAAGAAGGCGGCACAGTTAGGGTGTTCAGAGATGGTGTGCCCTCAGTACCACCTTCTTGGTGACATTGGAGCTTTAGGAAAATAGAAGTATTTCCTTACACACCCAGTTGGAAGGTCTGGCCTGCTGCACTGATTGACCCTTGGCCCTGACTCTAGCTTAGTCACTGGGTTTTGCCCCCCTCCCTTTTTCTGCGTAGCTTTCTCTCTAAGAAGCCACTGAGGAAAGACAATTTTGCATGGTCCTGGGGTTTATTTCTAGGCCCCTGTTAGTAGTTTAGTGAAGAGCTGGCTCACGGGTATGAGTGATGCACAACAAGAAGATACCAGCCACTGAGCCCAGAGGCTCCCCCTCTCTGACTTGGCCACTTCCCAGAGGAGGAAGTGCTCCCTATCACGGTCACCAAATGTTCCTGTCTACCCGCATGCAGTGTACAGCATTATAGGGCTGGTCCCCCTGGAGTACTCTAGTGCCCAGCCTGAGCTGCCTCATGGTGGAATATAAGAACTTGGGGAGTCACGTGTGTTCTGCTATTTTTTATTTGTATATTTCTCCCCCAGTAAAATTTGTTTTATATTTACACTGTGTTTATTATTTTAGTTTTGTTTAAGAAAGTCTTCCCTATTTTAGGTCACAAAGATAATGTCCTACATTATCTTCTAAAAGTATTATAGTTTTTCCTTTCACAATGTAGAGGAGGAAGGCATATTCCTCTACCCTCTAGGTTCTTCTGGCTGATCTAAGAATTAAATTGACATGAGACAGAATAATCGGAGGAAAACAAACAAA